CAGAAATTCTGCTTTTAGAAAAGTCTTCCTAACCCTCAGGTCTTCTTAGACACTGACTCTAGAAGGCTTGGGTGGGACTGGGATGGGGGTAGGGAGGATTCAGATGGGATTTCGCTACAGTAGGACAAGGATGCTTAGCTCTGAAGCCACCTGACATTCACTGATATGTAATCTTTTTCATGTCTGTGCTAGATAAGTGGCACTTAGACTTTTTTGATTGTAATCATTTTACATTTTCTGCAGTGACCCAGACACACCACACGTACTCACACATCATATACGTAACTAATATGGATGTCTCACAAATGAATAGTTATTTACTGTGTGGGATGCCCTCAGATAATGGTATGTTCTACTTGATTGTTTCATTAAAATATATACCAGTCACCATCCAGTAGTTTTCACAACCCCTCTAAGTGGTTCACGATTTAGAATTTGGAAAATACTATTCTAGGTCCTTCCGTAAGGATGTAGAAGAAGTTTCTTCATCTCTGTAGGAGGCCAATTTGCCTGGAGAGCAGTTTATATACACACATACCATAGCCCAGCTAGTTCCATTGCTGAGCAAGATGTGTTTCGAGATTCAATAGAAAGTATGTCTATAGAGAAGGCCTGGTTTGAAGCTTCCAGCACAGCAAGTAATTGGGAACCACCAGTTTATTCTTGTTGCTGGGTCCTGGTTTCTGACTCCAGTGGGAAATTAGGTACTAGTGTTTTTTTTTTCAAAATATACATAACTGTATGACCATTTCCTCCCTCTCTCCCTCTCCCTCCCCCGCCTCTGTCTCTCTGTCTCTCTCTCTCTCTGTCTCTCCCCCACCTCCTCAATGAAAGAAACAGAAGAGTACAAAATTAAACCAAATATAAAGAATACACATGAGCGTGTGGATGCATCTCCCAGTTATAAGATTGTGTCTCACACTCTCGGCTACTTTTGAATGTTTTGCCCAATTTCCTTTGATACGCCTCCCAAGATACAGGGTGGCGCTTTATTTTGGGCAAGGCTGGCAGCTTCTTTCGACTGTTCTTTTGCAAGGAACTGTATGAGGACAGCCACTAAGTTTATTTTTACATCTCACCACAGGACAAAAATCCACATTTTCAGTCGAGTGTTGGACATTCTGATTTAACAAGTTGTGAAAAATCTCTTGGCCCAGATCAGTGTTTGCTAAGAGTACTCCTTTCTCTAAATTAAAACCTTGCTCCCGGAAGCCCGAGAATTCATTAAGCCATAATTAGCCGTGATCTCTGTTGATGTAGAATACAGTGACATTCTGAGCTCTGAATGTACTTTTTGGGTCTGTCCTATGGTTGACCTTTTATAGCTTTAGTTTTAAAATAGTTCTTTCACTTCATCTGATGGCTGCCTTTTCTCTAGCCGGCCCTTCATGCGAGCAGGGTAGTAGCTGCCGTAAAAGATTCTTTTATCTATTACTTGCATTTTACCTTGGTGTACCTGGAGGTGTGCCACAAAGTGTTCACATGCCCTTACTGTTCTTATTTGTATCATTGTCACTGTTCTTATTTGTATCATTGTTAGTCTGTATCTCGTTGCCGCTGCACTGGGTTTTATTGTGGCTCTTCTGTCTGTGGCTTGAGTGTTGTTGATAGGGACCCAATGATGGACATATCGCTTGGTTGGGCTGTGTTTGATATGGTATTAATGTCACTGCATTTCACATAAGTCTACTTAACCAACAAGAATCTGGGATATTAATTTTAGTAGGTTATAAATTAGGGTACCATGTCGTATTGTGTTGGCAAGTACTCACGCTGTGCAGTCTGGTTTTGGTTTATATCTTAAAGTCTCCAATACACTAGAGGTTTTTGAGGCAATTAGTTAGTATCTCTGCATATGAACCTCCTCAATCTGAAGCAGTGAGCCCTTGATCATCACTGTTAATTTCCTTTCTTGTTGATGAACCTGAGTTTCTCTTGTATGAATGTATATGAATTTCCTAAACTTTAATCAGACCGTAGAAGTATAGCTGGATTTTTGGGATGTGGGAGCCAACCCACTTTCCTCGGGGAAAACACTCAGTGGCTGGTTGACGGGGCCTGCACAGCAAGTGCCATCATCGCTGTCAGTTCAGGTCACCTTCACCCATCCGCATTGGAGAAGCAGCAGCAACCAGCACGTTATACGTCACTGTCGCTTTCCATTGACATTTCAAACTAAAAAAAATCTGTTTTAAACAACATGTTTGCTGATCTTAAAGAGTAGGATTATAAACTGTTAGGAATCAGGGACCACTAAACAACCGTTTTCATTTGCAGTGGGTTTAGGATATAATTATCTTCGAGTTTGGAGAGGATGTCCTGATGAAGGCCGAGTGAAGTGCCAATCAGCCACTGAACACGAAGCCTCTGCTTGCCCAGCCAGGCTGAAACGGTCCGTCTTCTAGACTTGTAGCACTTGGCACCTGTCGCTGGGGGTGCCAGCTTGAGCCTCAGGCGTTCTACCATTGGGTTTTAGGTGTACCTGGCCTGCTAGAGGTCTGCTTTGAGGAGGGACCGGGGAGCCTCCTGGGGGACTCTTCATTCTAGAGAACCAGGTACCAGGCCTGGTGAGCTCAACCAGAGTGGGAAGGGAGGAGCGATTCTGAGCGTCATATACACTTGGTTTTCTTGGTGGTTCACGCTCCGGAGAGCAGGGAGTGGGCAGGGGGAAGTGCGGGAGGTTGCGGGGAGGATAGCGACTGTCAGTAAAAATGGAAATGGCGGTTTCACTTTAAAAACACCTTCAGACTGTGGAGCAAAAGTAAGTGGCTTTGGTGACATCTAGAAAGTTGCTAAGGGAAGCCTGAGCGGAAAACGTCACGCACTGTGTACGGAGCATGGCTGAACTTCGGCACCTTGCAGGAGCGCCCCGTGGGCGCCGAGGTGCTCAGCGAAGTGGCATCCATCACTCACAGATGTGGCTCTTCAGCAGGCGACTCAGGAACACCCCTTTCCGTAGTTCAGCTGCCAGGCAAGACCTGATGACCTGGTACCGCGGGAGGTGGCCAGATGCAAGAGCAAAGGAAGGGTCCGTGCCACACGGTCGAACGCGGATCTTACCTGTGGGCTCACCTGTATGCCTGACTTCCAGACAGCAGCAGGGAGCACCCAGCTGGGCTCTGGGGCTGGCATTGCAGATGGTGGTCAATGAAATGCGTGCCCCTGCCTGCCGCATCTCGGCTCTGTGGGCGCGAGTGCTCCCGGGGAAGCCGGCGCGCAATGGGCCGCTTAGCTCTCAGTTGCGTCAAGGCGGCCGTGCTTAGTGGTGAGACAGTGCTCTTGAGAGGTCCGGGGAGAAGAGAGAAAAGATGCGATAAAGCGGGAAAAAAAGCTTGCTGCGTCACGTGACTATTTCGTTGCAATTTTTTTCTTTTTTTTTCCAGCCTTACTGAGGTATAGTTGACAAATAAACTTGTAAGACATTCGCAGTGTATAGCATGATGATTCGACGTCCATTTACATTGCGAAAGTCAGTCCTGCGTTAACACAGCTAACGCCTCGTATACTTTTTAAAGTTTTTGATGAGAACATTTAAGTTTTATTCTCTTAGAAAATTTCAGTTATGCAATAAAGTGTTGCCAACTGTAGCCACCATGTGAAGCATTAGATCCTCAGACCTTATTCATTTTATAACTGAAAGTTTGTGCCCTTTTACTAACCTCTTCCTGTTTCCCCTGACCCCCAACCCCTGACAACAACTTTTCAACTTTCTCTTTCTATGAGTTCAAATTTTTTTTTTTTTTTGATTCCATATATAAGTGATACCATGTGGTGTTTGTCTTTCTCTGTCTTGCTTATTTCTATTAGCGTAATGTCCACCAAGGGCATCATGTTGTTGCAAATGACAGGATTTTTTCAAAGTGGAATTTAAAGTAATCCTACTACTGATATTCTAAGCCTCGAATAACATACGGAACTCTTTTAAAGACTGTGTTGCTCGAATGTACATAAATATGAAACTAGATCTAAACTATACGTGATTATACATCTACATAACCATAAAGCAAAAAATGTACAACTAAAGTACTAAAAAGACCTCCATATTAATAGAATTGAAATGAACAGAATTAGTCGACGGGATGAATGATTTCGTTTTGCTTATATTACCGCACAAGGTAAAAATAGGTATAGACGGGCCCACGCATGGCATGTGCCGAGCCGCCTCCCGTTCCGCCCCTACACTCACCCCGGTAACTACTGAAAGCAGGATCATTCTGTGGCAAACCCGTCCTTACTTGGCTTCAACCCAGAACTCTTCATTGACACTTGTCTGGGAGAAGTTGCAAACCCTGAGACAAAATGCTTGTCCTTCTAGCACTTGAAAACTATTCAGGGGACAGACTGTGATGAGAGGCAAGTTATCAGAGTCCAGAATTCTGCACATGGGCGATTGGCTGTTTTCCAGAGAACTTGTCTGGCTTTCTAAAGTTACATCACAACCTGAATTTTCTGAAAATCTTTGAGACTCAAAGAAAAGCATCGGCTTGGAAAATCTTTTCGCTCTGCCTTGTGCACTGGGGTCGGAGCAGAGGGATGAGAGAAAGAGAAGATTCAACTCTACTTTGCTTATGCAAAATCCACCCAGCAGGCACTGATTCAGGAGGGCGCGCTGTAAGACCAGAGTTCAGGACTTGCAAAGAATTTCACCATCCGCTCTTTCTGTGACCTGATGTCACAAAGAACAGAATATGCAGTTCTCATCTCAGACTCTTTGAAGGGTGTGCACCGTTGTCCAATATTAGGAATAGAACAACTTTTTTTTTTTTTTTTTTAACTCTTGTTCTGTCTCTTCCTGGAGGAAGATCAGGTCTGTCTTGGAGGATGGTTCCCGAGGGCCTGGCTCTGAGTTGTGTCTAGTTACTCGTTCATGTTTTGGCTTCATTTCTGGCCGCGGGGCGCTGAGTCTTTAAGGACCATGGGCTGGAGGTGTCCTTGGCCATGTCCTCCCTGCCCCCATGTTTTCCTTCTCTCTCTCGCTCGCTCCAAGTCCGCTGTCTGAGCGGCCGCCTCTCAGTGATATGTCATCATTTCTGGTCATAGTCACCGCCTCTGGCTGCTCCTTCGTAATTCTCTGCAGGGCGGTTTCTTCTTCTCTCCGCTTCCCTCCTTTCTTTCATCTTCTTCAGTGATTCTCTCCTCTTGGGTAAGTGAGTCCTCTTTGTGTCATCATTATGGTCTTTCTGCTTTTTCTTTTTCTCAATGGCTGACAGACAGGTCCCGACACGTCAGAGATGATCTGGGCCATTCGCCCCTTGACTCGGCACAGCACAGGGGCTGGACAAGCTGTGGACGTGGCTTGAGTCCGAGCCCTGGGGAGCGCTGCCAAGCGTGGGTGTCCGCCTCTTCTTCCCAAGGGAACAGGGAACGTTCCCTCGGCACTCCGTCCAAGTTCAGGCTCAAAGTCACAGCAGCTGTCCTGAAGCTCGGGGCCAGAGAGCACCCAATGCCTCGTCCTCTCCTTCAGACTCCCTTCATGGTTTGGTCCCTTACCTTTACAGAACTCTCCTCCAGCAACTGCAGAAGCTTCAGACTTTGGTGATGGGCAAGGTTTCTCGCACCTGCAAGTTGGCCGGCACGCAGACCGGCACCTGCCTCATGGTGAGTTTCCTGAAGGGACAGCAGCATGACTGCCCCCGCCCACTCCCCAGTCTCTGGTCTCTCCCAGCTCGCCAAGGCCAAGTGCTGGGAGTTGGAGGAACGTGCAGCTCGCTCCGAGGCTGTTTCTCTGCTCCGATGTCACCGTTATGGACCTGTGGGTGCCGCCTGCTGGGCTGGTGGATGGGAGTCTGTCTCCCTGGGCCCCCCAGGTTTGCTCTGGGGATCTTGGGACTGACGGCTCCTCGTGTTCTCCCCTCGCCCTGCAGGTCGTGGTGTTATGCTTTGCCGTGGCCTTTGGCAGCTTCTTTCAGGGCTATGGGCCCTATCCTTCTGCCACCAAGATGGCTCTGCCCAGCCAGCATTCCATGCCAGAGCCGTACACAGCCTCCATCGGTAAGACCGCACCTGGTGACTTGAGAAGTGTCTGGTTTCATTTCTCTGCAGCTTCCTGAAAGCTCAGCTTCCTGAAGGGAGTCTTATGTGAAAGTTTAATTTAAAAAAATTGGTAAATGTAACTTTTCCAAGGGAGAGAAGAGAGAGACGTGTGGGGTCTGGTTCCCCGGCCGCTGGGTCTCTCCTTTGCCCCTCACCCGCTGGGAATTATCTGGAGCTCAACAGAGCACGGTGTGCACACTGCCGCTCATGACTGTGTCCCTGGCAAATTCTGATGTCTCCTTCTTGAGTTCTGGTACGGGGGAGGGATGTGGCTTTTGGGGGAGGTAGCATTAAGCTTTTATGACATTTTATGGGAATTGCTGTGTTTCTGCCTCCATGCAGTAGAATCCTACGTACCATAGTAAGAGTTTGTAAAATGAAATTAAAGCGTTGGGCTATCTTAGAAAGCATTATGCCTAAGATTTAGAGAACTTGGAGACTCGGATCTTAGATAAGAAGTATGTGATTGTCTCACTAGGTCACTGATCTCTTTTAAGTATGTAGGGAGCATAATCCATACACTAATACATATATACACTAAAAGACCAAGTGTGGATTTGGATGAGTCACAATTTTGCAATTCTGAACGGTGGTGATCTTCACCAGGCAGGTGTGTCTCTGCCAGGTATATGACAAAAATGCTAGTATTTCAACCAAATAATTTCAGTGGTCTCTTCGGAATTCCTTTTTTGCTAAAGTACTATTTGTCTAAATTTAAATAGAAGCCAAGGAGACATTAGTTTCTGTGTCGTGGAAAATCGCTACAGAGTCATCTAGCAAGGCAACTATCCTATGAAACAAAAGAGGCGGTCCCTGCCATGGTGATTTATGGCTTTGGCTTCGTGGCCTCACTCCAGTTTCTAAATGGAGATCCTGTTTCCTGTCCTTGTACCTTCCCTCCGTGCAAGACCTGCTCGGTGGGGATGCTTATTTGCTGGGTCTGGGCATCTCCCAAGTGTTTGAGTCCCATTCCCCATGAGTTATTTCCCCCAGATGCTTCGGGGTGGGCAAGGAGGGGAGTTTATTTTCGGAGCGTTGAGGGTGGCAGTTTGCTTCCTGTTTATTCGCTTTCCTATCATTCTTCCAGCACTGCACAATTGGTATAATTTTTTAATGCAGAAAAGTCTGAAACCCTGAAGCTTTTACGGAAGGCGAACTCCAGTTGGTACCCTTAGTCTTGGGCAATGAGAACCCACGAATTGTCATCTGTCCCCTGCCCTGGGCATCGAACGAGGGCATGTGGTGTGTCCTCATTGTCCTCCCCATCCCCCAATACCCGTTACTTTGCTCTGTCCTCAGTGAGGTCCAGGAACCTGCTCATCTATGAGGAGCACTCTCCGCTGGAGGAGCCGTCCAGCCCGGCCTCGGCCGGGGAGCTCGGGCGCTGGGACAGAGGCTCCGCCCTGCTCAGGGCGTCGGGGCTGGAGCCCAGGCCAGACATGGATCTCCCCCATTTCATTCTCGCGAATGAGACCAGCCTGGAGAAGTCAGTGCTGTTGGAGCTGCAGCAGCACTTGTGAGTCAGATGGTCCCGATTCTTCTCCTCTCGTGCACAGGTCACAGGTCATGAGTCAGCAGCCTGGCCTGCGGGGCGTGGCCTCCTCCACAAGCCTCGTGCAGGTCTTGTTTCGAGGACTGGGGACTTGAGGGTCCACTGCCGGCCGACGCTGGCCTCCGCAGAGCGCCCGATGTCCGTGTCGCTGGGGAGCTGGCAGTGGTGGCTCGAAGAAGCAGGGAAAGGGCTGGAATCTCTTCCTCACGCCCCTAAAAGCCACAGAAGGAAATGCACAGCCTGTCACAGCGGTGTGGGGGCCCCGCACGTGCGGCCTCACGGCACATCTATCTCCCTTCCAACCAGAGATGCACCTATATCGTGCTGTAGGCCAATGGATGGCTTTATGACTTATATGTAAATTAGCAGGCATTAATTATAATTATATAATTATGTACTTATATTGAGGGCCACCATTTGAGTGGCGCTGTGCACGTACACGTTTCCATGTGGAAACAAGTATCATTATGGTGCGGGGCAAGACACCCGCACGCCGGGCTGTGGTGGTCTGTGGTTGGTGATCCAGCTCAGCTCTGCCCTTGTGCCTCCCAGAAATAACGCTTTTGCAGTGCAAAGGGGAGAGATTCTGTTTCTAGTTCTTCAGCTTCCTTCCCCTGATACTCTGGGGAAGGTTCATAATCACATGTACCTTTACGTGCTTATGTTATACGTGCATATTCATCATGTACCAGCACTTACCGTTTTAAGCACGATGCAAATATGATATATAAGTCCCTTTAAATATTTTAAGAGCTTGGGCACTCTTATTAGTCCCATTATAGAGAAGTTGCAGAGCTGCCCCTGGGAGCTATAGGAGACTCAGCGGCCTGATTACTGGCTCATGGCACCAGTCGTCCCCTGCTTAGCTCAGCTATTCAAGGCCCTATTGAAATCCCACTTGTTCTGGGGTGTTGCCCGGATGCTGAAGCCCTCATATTCCTCCTCCGAACGCCTAGAGTGTTCTAGGCTGTTACACAATTTGATAACATACTTATTTTCTGGTATTGTTATTGCAAGTTAGTTTTTTTGGGAGGGGGGAGTGGTGAGGGTCAGGGTTAAGGTTAGGGTGCAGGAGGCGTTGGAAACAGAGAACGCTTCTTGGTGGGAAGGGACAAGAACCGCGCCTGGGCCAGCCCACGGAGCTGCCAGCGTGGAGCGATTGTATTGTACGACCGAGCACGAGAACCGTAGGTGACGCTTGGCGGCTAAGACTTCTTTCTCCTTTTGATGCCTTCACAGGGTCGGCACCAAACTGGAGGGGAACGAAACACTAAAAGTCGTAGAGCTCGACAGAAGAGTGAACGCCACCTTCTAAAGAGGGGGTCCCCCCGCCCATCTTCACTCTACTTTTGTGTCCCCGAACCACCTTTGCCATAAGCGTTTCCCTTTTGCCACTGATCCGGATGAAGACAGGGAGGAGCAGTCGTGGTTTGGGATGGGAGGACAGCTTGGGATTCCGCCTTCCCCTCCGGGCCCGTGTCCCTCCCTGCAGAAGGGAGCTTGGCGTCTCTCCCTCCCCTTCACTTACTGCAATAGGAAGTTATTTTAGGGTCAGGTGGGACAAGCAGGCTCGTTCCTACCGATAGTGCCAAAAAGATGCTGCCTGATTGTCACCTGGGGGTGTCACCACCTCTTTGAAGAACAGATGACTCTTCGTTCGTTTGAGACCCCAGACTCTTCACAACGAAACACCAGGACGCCCATTGGGATCGGCGAAGCGCTGACTGATGGACGTTCTGCCTTCCTCAGCCTGCGTCTCCAGTGTGTCCTCCGCCGTCAGCCCTGGAAGCGCCAGGGCGTCCAGTGAGTGCCCCCTGCCACTCTGCTCTGCCCGAGCCCTCAAGCCCTCGCCGACCGTCCTCCGGCGCCGGAGCCAGGGCCCCCCACTTCGTATTCTCAGGCCGCAAGTGCAATGCCTGAACAAGTCAGGCTTTTCCACTCCAGGCGAACCTACCCTGTCTTGTTGCTTGTAGGACTTCTCCATAACGTGTGTCCCCACACGCCCATAGTTCCGCCTCCCCGGCTTCTCCTCCCCGTTTGTAAATAGTATTTATTAGCTCGCTGAGGCTTCCCGCTAGCGACCACGCCGAAGAGATCCGACGCCTCCCTCCAGGCTCCCGACGTCTGCCGCTGGCCTTTGGTTGCTGGGAGGGCGGCTGGGCTCTGGGATGGCCCGTCCTCCAGACCAGCTGTCATTTCCTTTTCCTCTCCTTTGTGTCTGGAGGCCCCATCAGCATGTGTCCTCCTGTAGAAAGAACTCGGAGGGAAAGCTGGAGCGATGATGCCCTGCTCAGGCCTGCGTCCCCGTGGCCAGATGCTTCTTCTGCCCTGTGCCCGTGACAGAGAAGGGAGCCCTGTCCTGACAACAGGCCTTGCTAGCTCCTCTGGCCGCACCTGCTCCCGGCCCCTCTTCCCTAACCCCCACCCTGCTTTACCCTCCTGCCTCCACACGGGGGTGACCCGAGGTCTGCTCCTGGGGTTGGAGTAGGTGACTTTTGTAGATCCACAGTCTTATCTTTTATGGTCAGGTTTGGCTACTTTGCAGCTCACCCAAAGATACATAACCAAACCCCCCCAACCTACTTTTTATTTTCAAGTGATTAAAGTAACTTTTTGTAGTTTAAACAAAAAAAAAAATCTTTCCTCTTTCATACAGATAAGAAATGGAAACTGCCTTTTTATTGTATACTGTAGGAGATTTCCCTCAAGTGTTTTTTCCCTAGCTTGTAAAAGATTTTGTATAGGAAATTTGCTTATATTTTGTATTTTATTTTTAGTAGTAGTTGAAAGGCCTTTAGCTTTAACTCCTCTCTCTCTCTCTCTGTCTCTCTCTCTCTCTCTCACCTGTACATTGCCATTGGAACCTATGCTTAAGAGGGATTAAGCCCACACCTGGGCCTTTGATTCCACATCAGGTACAGGATCCGGTGTCATTAACATTTGCCATCACACCTCATGAACAGATCTCTGTTTTGTCTGTCCAGGTTCACCCAGGGCTCATTGTCAGGGATTCTTCTCTTTCCCGACTGTGGTGGAGAGAGTTCCAGACGGGGAGATGGCCAAGTCCATCTTTTCAGCAGCGTGTGAAAGCCGGATCAGGACTGCAGTGGTCCTGGTGACCCCGACAGTCCCCCGCACAGTTCTCACTGTCCCTTACATTGGCCCGGGAGAGCTGAGACCATCCGTGCGGTGCGGGAACGGGATTGCTGCCTACCCGCCCTGCTCTGCTCCTGCTTCTCTCTTCCTTTTGTCCTTCTCGTTTGCTTCAGACCCTCCTGGGCCCGGCTGGTGTCTGTGACCACGAGCCACTGCTGACCCATCCCTCTCGTAAAGATGGCATGTGATTATCAGGCACAGGCAGACTATGAGGGCCTAAGAAGGTGAAACGATGGCATTAGCTCAAGGAGTATTTGGATGACGCGGAAGGAAAGGTTCCACGTGTAAGGGCAGAGTGTGAGGATGGGTCAGCCTACCTCCCGGCCCCACGCCAGAACCAGGGCGGGATATTAAGGCTCCTAGATTAGCCAGAGTGGAAAACCTGCTCTTCTGAATGAGGACAGAGAAGGATGAGGGCAGCAGACTGATAGCCCCCGTTCTTAGTGCCTTGATGATTTTTTTCTCCCCGAGCTGCCTTTGCTTGATTGACATCTCTCTCTTCAGACAGCAAGGTGTTCTCCCTGGGAAATGTGGGTTCCAAATAATTAACGGATGTGTGCACGTTTTCTGCCCAGGGTAAGCCTAGGGTATCAGTGGACGGGTTCTCTTCCCACCCATCCCCCTACCCCCACCCTGACCCTGACCGATCCCACCGACTAGTCGATAATACCTGGTTGGCCCAGACGATTTCATAGTGGCTGGCGTTGGCTTCGAATTTCAGTTTTGAAAACTGTGAAACCGTTAGCGCAACCATAAACCACAGAGCATAAATAGGTTCATTATAAATATGTCAATTATATTTTTCATCATGCAAACGGGTTTCCCTTTTCCTTTCCTTTGTTCGATTGCCCAAGCGAAGACGTCATACAGATTCGGAGAACGTGTGCGTCTTTACTGGATGAGACCTGAGGAACCCAGGCCCCTCAGCGCGGTTCTTTTCACGGCTCTCGACTTTGCACTTAGAAATAGATACTGAAAACGAAAGCCTCGGTGCCGGTTTTAGGAAAGAATTCCTGTGAAGTGCAATGACTCGGGAGCCTCGCTCACATAAAGGGTGTGTTATATAAAACTCCGACAGCTGCACTGGGGTGCTCCGTGAGGGCGAGGGGTGGGGGCGAGGTTGGACACCAGTATAGGCAGAATGAGATAACCTTCTCGATTACATAAGTGATTTTGATTTGGAGACCTCATTTGAGGATTGTCAAAGCAGCTTTCAGCTCAACTTACTCCAAGCAAAACCACAGCAGAATCCGAGGCCTCTGGGGGCCGGCCCCTCTGAGGGCACACACCTGTCGTGTGAGGTGTGTGCTCGAGCACAGGGCACAAACGGAGACGGCCCGCTGAGATGTTCTATCTGTGCCGGCCTCACTGACACGGAGAGACTGGAGAGGGAGGGAAAGGCGTTCGGCCTCCCCCTCGCCCGCCACGAGGCACTGCTTTGGTTCTGTCGACTCCTGCCTTTGAGAAACCTTTATTAAAGACACCAGCAGGCCTGCTTGCAGTGCGGCAGGATCTGTGAAACTTAGCAGCGAGGGCACAGTGAGTCATTTTATTTGAAGGCTTTTTTGCTGAGACAATTAGGGAGGCGATAGGATAAACCGCCCTGGGGGGCGGGGGGTGGGGTGGGCAGTTAGAGGAGAGAGCAGGAGGCTGTGAAGTGGGGACTGTGAAGGAGCCCGAGACGGATTCCAGATTTTCCATTTATTCATTCAGTCAGTCTCTGTCCGTCAGTCCTGAGGAAGAGTGTTGCGTGAGGCCCTGGGGAATAAGGGTACTGAGGAAATAGCATTAATCAATAGCTCTTCAAAAGGCATGTGAAAGGTCGGTCTCTCTCGCACACACACACACACGCACACACCTCTTGTCTTAGACACATCCGTTTGTGCCTTACCTGTGCCTTAGATATGAATCCAGGATGACAGAGGACTCTCTTATCTCTGGGAGATTTTATACATAGCCTTGTAGTATTAGATCGAAGTGAGTGTGGGAGAAATAACCTTTTCTAAAGGCTCAAAAGTGATTTTCTAAAGTGAGCAAGGGTCGGATTTGTGCATTAAGGGAAAAGAAACAGGGTTATGTCCACTAGAAAAATCCCATTTTGAAGAGGTGCAATCGCATCAAAAAACGGCCAGCCGGGATTAAAGTATCATAAAACCTCCAGCAGGCTTTCTGGGTGCACAGGGGCCCGGCCTTTTTGGCGATTCGTGGTCAGCACCTACCACGGGAGATCAAGGGCTGTTTGGCTTTTGTCATTTTGGGTGACATAAGATTCATTATTTTATTTTGTCTTAGTTTCGAAAAGAAAGGGGAAAACATTTCTTTCCACACTTCCTAAGAGCTAGGTGCTGTGTTAAGGAAGTTGGAAGTCTTTTGATTTTATAGAAAGCAAAAACAAGGGCAACTAGCTACTCCGAGCTGGAGAAGCAGCTGCCTGATGTGGGGAGTGCAACGCTTTGTGGATCAGGTTGGGCGGATCCCTTTCTGCGCACCCACCGAACCCACTGTACACTTCTCAGTTCTCTGGGCAGGAAACAGGGCCTGCCCGCTGTGCTGGCCCCGCCGGGCAGTGGTCAGTCCTTTGCTTTATGCTGGAGATGTCCCCCAGACGCTCCTCTCTCTTGCCTTTCTCGCCCTGTCTTTGTGAGTTCCAGCTGGCAGGCCGCGCGTCCCGGGAAAGAAAGCCCAGGGCTCTTAGCTCCACTTCTCGGCTCCTGTCCTTGGCTCCCCAGCTGGGCGAGAACATGAACTTTAGGCACCACGGACCCAAGGCCTACCCCGCTTAGAAAATCTCTCTCATTCGGATAAAATGTCTATGGAAAACACCAGTGCTCTTTGACAAATCGGGAGCGCCCCTTTTTAAATAACGCGGAGCAGACTCCGGACTGTGATCATCCGTGAGCTTTAACGTCCGTGCTGACAGCTGGACTTTCCTCTCTCGTGTGACAGGTTACACAGACCAGCAGTGTCTGAGTCTGAATACATTGCGAGTCTATTATCTGTTGTATTGTGCTGTTTTTTTTTTTTTAATGGCTTTTTATTCTTTATCATAGCTAAGTAAACACCTAAATAAATAAATAAACAAATAAATAAATAAATGCTTTGTAACCTGTACTTAGTCTTGGGGAAAAATGAGTTGAAATTGTTATTCTTCTGTATTTCCATTTCTTGCAAATAAAAATATTTTTTTTTTCTTAAATAGTAAAATGTTGTCTGGACTTTTAAAACCCTGGTAATCTGGTTTTGAAAGCATTTTGCTTTTTTTTAACGTGCATGGATTTGTATATGTATGCCTAACCATTCTTTTCTGATTACCTAGTTGAACCAAAAGAAGCCTCAAAACAGCAATTTACGTGTTATCTAGTGCTGAATCCAGGCTCAGTTGGAGGAATAATGAGAAATGTAATTGTTTTTTCAGTCAGTCACGGGAAGAAAAACAGTATTTTCTAGAGATTTCTGGCACCTGAGTGCTATTGTTGTTGTCTCCTGTGACTGCTCCCCAACTAGATTTCAGACTCTGTGGCTTGGACTTTGCTTTCCCGGTTCTGGTGCTGGAGGATGAGGGCTTGGACTGGAGCTGGAAGAGACGGGTGCTTCTTCGTGGGGACAGTTACCGAGCATGCCTAACGCAGAGTCACGCTCCGGGAGCCCTGATGGAATGGTCGATAAAGGTCGAAGGACTCACGCAAAATCATCTTCGTTCCACTGTGACCTCTGCATTCAAATTTAAGTTTCACACAGCGTAGGGCTTCATTTAGCCTCAGAAAGAATACCCAGGATGTTAGAGACTAACGCCATCAACCATGCTTACCTGGAAAGAAAAAAACCTTTTGTGTGTGCGTGTGTGTGTGTGTGTATGTGTGTCTCAGCAGCATGCCTAGTAGACTGTTGGGGGCTGGGGTACCGGGGCGTGCATCAATCTCTCGCTGCCTTTCTCACCTCTGAGCACCTTGACCTTCTCTTCTGTGCCCACGCAAGGGGCTAGTCCTACGCCTGCTTACTTCGCCTCGCTCGTCACCTCGCTCGTTCCTACCAGCCGAAACCACAGCAAAGGCTCTTGCCTACTTTTTCCTCTCGCTCCCTCTGCCTCTTTACCGACCCTGGCGCCCCGCTGTGTGGCCCTGCATCATGTGACCTGCTCCTTCACGGTGGGAACTGTGAGTAACTGTCTTTTCAGTGGCAATCCGCTATCTGTTGGCCTCACCATATCTGAATAATAATAAAACCTTTAAAACACCCTCCTTAGGCGTTGAATGTCAAAGCGGAGACTTGTGTGCATTTTGGAGTTCACAGATGGGCCTGGTATGACTTAGGGGAATATGATGCAGAGTTATTGTCACTTTTTACACCGGTTGCTACTAATGTTCCAGAGAGGAAAGATTAGAACTATAGAGGGCAAGGGGGGCTTATTTATGGGAAAAGAGGTAAATTGAGAGGGTGTCTAAAATCCTAGGCTTGTGCTAAGGTTCCAGAGTAAATCATATCTCATCTTTCTGAAAATGATTCAGGAGGTAGAGGTTTGTGGCTTCTCTCATAGTTACACCACTAACTTGCTTGCCTCGAGGAAAAAGGCACTTACTGAATGCCTGTCATGTACCAGGCGATTTTAGTGTATTCTCTGTGGTCTTATTTATTCCCTCCAGAAACTTTACAGAGGGTATATAATTACTGTCTTTCACAGTCGAGGATACTGGGTTTCAAAAAGAGTAAGAAACAAACTCAAGGTCACACAAAATGACCTGCAGATGAGAGATTCAAGCCCTGGTCTTCGTTCTGAGTACATAGTCTTTGAACTATGCTGTGCCGTGTTTTGGGCTCGAGAGTCTTTACTTGTGGAAAATACAGAGGTCGTCTAGTTCAGAGCTTGCCAACCCTCAGCTCACGCACAGATGTTTCTGGTTTGGTCCCACGATGTTCCAAACATTTAAAAATTATTCATTAACCTTTCAACCTTCAAAGATTTCTCATAAATTTCTCTCTAGGTTTCCATCTTCTTCGAAAGACTGAAAGGCGTGGCAAGTGTAGGAGCTGAGGAATGGTGGCCCCTTAGGTGTCGTAGGTCATCTCCAAGTGGCCAGATTTCCCCATGGCCAGGCTGGGTCACTCATTTATGTCACTTACTTGGTCTCTTTGTCGTTTGAATTGACCACCTCTAGACTGGTTGGTGGCTGTCTTTCTGAGCGTCCTAAGAAAGAGAATAGAGGAAAGATACTGTAGTGGTTAGGGGACCAGAAGTGGGGGAGGCTGGTTAGTTTCACCCTGAGGGACAGGCAGTGAGAGGGAGCTGGGCCGCGATCGGTGGAGGACTCTGCACAGCCATCACCCTTCTCTGCACTACATACACCCCCAAAATTTGCAATCTGCCTTCTGTTCTTCTTAATCCCTGAGATGACCTTCCTTAATCTCATAGAACTTTTGAATGATCCCACTTGTACAAGACCTCATGCTTTACAGAAGCCCTCACGCAAGTCGTCTGATGTACTTGCTGATTATCCTCCAGGAAGATGCGGTGGTTATCGTCGCTGCTGCTTAGCTGAGGAGATGGGACTGAGGAGGTGTGAACAGCTCCGCGTTAGGTTGCACTACACAGAGTGAGTGCGAAGTGGAATCGAGAGCCAGCGCTCCCGATTCCCATCCTGGTACCATTGCCGTTAGCCGTGCCTCATCTGGGCAGGGCCAGTAGCTGTCCAAGTCATCCATGATCACAATCCCTCCTTTCGGGTTGCTTTGCAACACGCCGCTGCTACACTTCCCCCCCAACGCCCCCCGCCCCTAGAATGATCAGGATTGTGTTTTATCCAGAATCTGGGACACTCCCGAAGGCCCCTACCTATTCAAAAGGGAAAAAGAAGGAAGATGGTTCATCTCAGTCATTTCCTGCAAAATAATCTGTCGCCATTGAAGAGGCTAATTCCACTTGATCCCTCATCGTTGGATGAGCCTGGGCAGGTTGCACAAGTTGATGTTGGCTTCCAACGGGCACAGCTGTTGCTAGATCTTTTGCCAGTTTTAAAGAAGTGTTCTGGCCCCATGAGGAGCCCATGTGTTCTCCTCCTCCCTCTATGCTGTTGTTTTTAGATGGAGGAACGAAAATAACCATTGAGGGATACCATGCAAGCTGCCAGAGAGGCTGTTGTGCTGTTCTCCAAGAAGTCTGTTTCAAAATGTTTAGTGTTTCGTAAGTGAAAAGTATTTGGGAATCTGGGCTGCCAGCGTGCTCATAACTAACGTCCTCCCTAGTATTATTACAAAACAGATGGCAAGTTCAGTCTCCTGATGGGTGCCTGAGAGGTTTCATGTGCTTGGGCTGCTTCAAAGAAAAATCATCTCCCTGAGGAAAAAAAAAAAAAAAAAGATAAATACAAAACCACCCACGTATTCGGACACCACTGGGACAGAAAAGGTGCCCTCGATCTCCAAAATGTTTTCTATCTTGGCTTAGTTGTTATTTAAAAGCTTTCAGTGGTTGAAACAGCGTTTGACCATGGTTTGAGGCGGTTCACATTATAAATGAAGGCAGAAAAGAAAATAACAGTTGAAATAGTATTTGCGACACTGTGCACATAATTCCACGCAGTTCTACCCCAGGGGTGGTACTTGACAGGAGATGTCGGTTGAACTCGGAGGGGCGCTGTAGGGGAAGGAAGTCAGAGTTTGGGACAGCGTGCATGGCATAACAGGGAAAAGAAAGGGCTGTTGGAACCAATGACAAGAATTTCCCACGATACAATTAAATTAAAATTATCGCAGCGGTGCCATACATAGCTATAAAAGAGTACTAAAAAGCCTTTATTGAAAAATAGCTGCGTATTGTTCTATTTCTCTGTCTCTTTCCCATCCATCAGTTCTATTTATTGTAAGTAACCAATTTCAGTTTTTTCTAGCATTTATCTCTATTTCTAAATTATGTGTTTATGCTACTAATACTTGAAATATCAAGTTTAGACATATTATTAGTTCTTATTATGGTATATAAGAATTTTGTCAACTGCTAACACACACACACACACACACACACACACACAAGAATTTCGTCAACTGCTAACACACACACACACACACACACTCACACTTCGTATCCATATTTTCTCCCTGTTTTATGTCACTCTTCTATATTGTCAGCCTTGCTCAAAAACATGAACAGCTACTGATGTCTGTTCATATGCGTCAACGAACATTAGTGAAGTACGTGATTAGTTATCCTAAATTTGAGTGTTGGCGTAAGTGGCTGTTCATTTTCCTTTAGCCTAGTGTTCTTCAAACTGAAGGT